ATAGAATATTTTTCTTTTGGACATGATTTTGTTTTTATTATCCTGCCATTTTTGGTGAAAGTCAAATTCTGTACTGATCTAGATTAATGAAACTGAATTTTAGAATTTCGTGTCTTTTTCTGCTTCCTCAGTTCCTGTCCTCACTCTTCACAGTTCTTCCGCTATTCACTAACAGAGAAATAAGGAAAGTTCCAGTTCAGGGAGGGTATTCAGACTGTTATTACTCTTCTGTTTGGCTCAGAACAGGAATAAGGTTCTGAGTAGCTCTGATACCAGTGTTTCTCAGAAGTTTTATGCCTAAATGCCAGTAGCAAATGTAAACAGGAATGAGTTGTTGGTATTGGCAGATGAAATTTAAACGTACAACAATTATGAATTACTGTCATGCGTTTGGGTTGTGTAACTGTTTATTGGATTTACTACTTCATATTTACTGCAAATTAGTTTAAATGTCTCTAAAGTCAAAGTCACTTTTGCTTGGAGGAGATTTTTCTTTCAGCTTACTGATTTGTGTTAATATTAATTTTTTTCCTTCTGTTTTGAACATTCCACAGTTAAGAAGTTTATACTGTTTTACTGTTGTGTCCACTCAAATTTCGTGGTATCTTCATACTCTAGTTCCTGCAATCTTTACACAGAACAAAGTGTCCACCTTTGCTAGCTTTCCCTCAGTTCTTTTCTACTTTTTGGCTAAAAGCCTCTCAGCCCAGTGCAAGTGTTTGAAGGAATTGCTCTGTGAGTGTTTAAATAAAACCATTCCGACTGCATTTATGAATCTGAAGGCCAAATTTATCTTCAACACTTTGATCAAACAGAGATGAACAAGGAGGAAAAAATGGATTAACTTACAAATACTGGGTTGAGTTCATGTGAATGCCATTAAATAAATACACTTTTTTGTCTAGGTGTCAGTGTGCATTTGATTAGGAGTCAGGACAATGAAATTTAAGCATTACATTTGTGTAGTGTTCAGAGGAAAAATTGAGGTTCTTTACCTGACTATGTACTTAAATCCATCTGTGTTTTCTCATCCTTGTAATCTAAAGATGTAAATAACCTTTGAAGATTAAAGAATTTACCTGAAACACACAGAAGCAGGATGCCTTCGAGTTGTTGCTTTTATAAACTGATTTGTTTACTATTGTGTTTTGTCTTGGTTTTTTCCTCTTATCCTTCAAGGCCCAACTGTTGCTATTATAAAACTCTTAGCAATTAACTTTAAATTGATGAGGCCTGAGAAACTGTCTTCCAGGTAACCTGTTTTCTGGACGTTCACTCAGGAATTATTTTAGTTGTTGCATACATTGTAATTGCATAAGTGCATACCAGTGCATAATTTATAAACTTCCAGATAGTATGTATTGACCTAATTTATTTTTCAGTTGGATCTCATTACTGATGATTCATGTGTCTTCATTTTAGGTGATTCAGTGCTTCAAAAATAACAGTAGTGAAATGGGTTTCTTTCTGTATACATTTGAACACATCTGTGGGGAGTATCAAACTATAGTAATTCTACTTTTTTATTCATTCTTTCAGAAAAGAGGCATCAGTTGATTGATGGAACGGTTCACTGTCTTCTTAACTTGTGAGGTACCCAAATGGCTTAAGGAAAGAAGATTAAGATACTGTTTTTCTGTACATATGATTTGGGCGCGTAAAAGGTGTGAAAACTGATTAGTGTACTTGTTTAGGACTTGAGTCATGCTTGCATAATCCTCAAGATTCACTAGTGGCACCCGAGGTCATCTCTGCGTGTTAACACAGTGGGACCAATTTTGCAGCAATATCCTTTGGTTTTGCCATTGGAACTGCTGTGTATGTAACAATGTTAGTTTAGTCCATCCTCGTGAAATACTTTTCAACTAGAGTTTGGGTATCCTTAACTCATTTTTGAAAGTTACAGATGAAGTGGCTTGCTTTTGCTGTGACTTTTGGTTGTTTTTTGACGTGTTCCGCTCTGTGAACTTTCAATAATTATAAGGCTGGCTGTGTAGTGCACCTCGGCATGTCCCTTAGCCTGTGTATACTGTGAAAGAAAGAAGCTGTGAAGGATTGCTCTCCTAGTCTCTTGTGGCTCAGTAGGAGCTCTTGTTGTGTAAGCATCTTAGCTTGTGGTCTGCGCTGCAACCTCTTGTCTCTCTGGACGACTCGCTTCTCCACCTGCCTGGTACTGTGGAGCAACATGGGAAGCAAGTATTCTATTTCAAAGAGTTTGTGCCCGTTGATAGAGTGAAGAATGTGCAGTCAGTTGCAGGCAGGTCAAGCAGAATAGGCAGGACAAAACGCTGGGCCTCTAGGTATGGCAGTAGTGCATTTTGTGGTACTGGCTGAAAAATAACAAACTTCCACAGTAGAGTAACAATGAAATCAAGGAGTTCTGAATGATTGTGTGTTCATGCTTCTCAAGACAATTATTTCAGGTTTCTTGTAGACTTTTCAAGACTATCTGTATAACTGTAAAGGCTAGAAGCTTCAACTCCTCAAAGTAAGAATGGAACTTAACGCTGGGCCTCTAGGTATGGCAGTAGTGCATGGCTGAAAAATAACAAACTTCCACAGTAGAGTAACAATGAAATCAAGGAGTTCTGAATGATTGTGTGTTCACACTTCTCCAGACAATTATTTCAGGTTTCTTGTAGACTTTTCAAGACTATCTGTGTAACTGTAAAGGCTAGAAGCTTCAACTCCTCAAAGTAAGAATGGAACTTTGTTATCTACTATTTGTGTTTAGAAGAGAACGCTGTGATAAAATTCATAGTTAGCCAATAACTGCCAAGTACTTTGCGTTTTACGCCTCTACTCAGCACAGATATTCAGGAAGTGTTAGAAAAACATCAAAGGAATTATTAATTTAGATCATTATAAAAGCATTATAGAAAAATATGTATTGATGGTGGATCTCCAGTTTGCTCACCAAATGCAAATTTGAATTTGCATTTGAAGAGAGAAGCGATGCAAAAGCTTTTGTTTGCACAGATGAAATTCTTAAAATTATTGCCTTCTATTTCAGATTTTCAGATACTGTAATTGTTATTTCACAGGGGTTTCAACTGCAGTTTTTTCTGGTAGGGTACTCCTCCATTGCTGCACTTCATTCCCTGCTTCCTGGGAAAAGGAGAGTTGTCTAGAAACACATAGAGCTTAATTGCTGTCAGGTTTTCTTTGGGAATTCTTGTGGTGGTCTGTCTTTCAGAGTATGATGTTTGCTTGTCATTTACGAAAAATAAGTTTTATGAAAGATCCCCTACTGTGAGTCTAGATATGAAGTTTCAACTGGCTCTTGTAGTCAGTGGAAATTAATTTCCTTTTAAAATAAAAGGGATCCGCAGCATTACTGCAGCGGACAGAACTGCATTGTGATTATACAATGTAAGTTTATTGTAGTATTTCTTAAATCACAGCAGGAGAATTCACATATCTCACTGTTCTTTAAACTTGTCTCATCTATCTTGAGAAAAAGTGTGACAGATATTGGGTACTAGAATATATCAGATATGACAGAGAGCAACCCTTCCTGTAAGCATATGTTATTTCACGAATGCCAATGTCAGTTAAGAGCTGTCCACGTACAAAGTAGCCAGATAGTGGAGTGGACTTGACTTCTGGTTTTGTTGAAGTGGTGGTGGCTGTTGTTTTGCCCCTTTTCAGAGAAAGGAAGTACTGTTTAGAAAGAGGTGAAAAAAGAAAGGCATGGTTATTAAATATTCAAAATAATAATAATAATAATAAAAAAAACCCACCAAAGCCTTTTTACTCTAAAGCTGACATTTTCTATTTCTTTGGAGAAATATGTTCTATTTGCTTGCCTATGAAAACTAAGACTTTCTTAGGAAAGAATCAGGAAACTCTTGGAGTTTATTAGTGCATAAAGGTGTGCATATGTTTGTGCTGATTTGTTGTACTGCTCTAGAGTGCTATTAGAAGTTGAGCTAACAAGTGAAAGCTGACTCGAGTACCTATACTGTGTGCCAGCCACAACTGCACTGAGGTTAAGATAGCGTGATTGCAACTTGGGACTTTGAGTAGCTAATATATTACTTGAACACCAGCTCTGCTGGTATCTGACTTCCATTTCCATTTTTGAACACAGCACTACATTCTCTGCAGTTAAGTATTCAACTGAGTAGTAATGTTGGAAAGGCTTTTGAAGCTTAGCAGTAATAGATGTGTTACAGAGGCTATGTCATGCACCATCTTCACACAGTCTTTGTGAATCCTTACTTAGACTTCAGCTACTTTTTGATTACTGCTGTGATCATAAGCCACAAGGGAGAAAAGCATTTGTTGACTCAGACTGTATTTGCCTTCTAGTAGTCCTTGGGTATTGAAGTTCAGACAGAACCTTTTTGCTGTTGAATACAAGAATCCTGAAATAGATAGAGGGTTTTTGTCACTAATTATGTTAGTATGAATATAGTGGTTGCTTTTCAAAAAAAATAGATGCTTATCATAATCCTAAAAAGTACTCTTTACATTCTGTTTAACTCTTGTTGTGTTTCACAAAAATTTCTTCCAACTTCTCGGATTTGTAGTGATGTAAGGAGGAAAGAGTTTAAGCCCTATTACTAGAGGAGTATTTTTGGGTAATTGTGCTACTTAGTTTTCCAGTTATTTCTAGCATGTTTAAATAACAGACATCCATGCTTTGTGATAACTTCAGACTTTTCTACAAACTGTTCAGAATTTCACTGGGAGTAAATATGTGACAGTTCCATTTTATGCAGGTCAGATTATACATGACACCGCAGTTGGACTGTGTCTTTACTGGACTAGCACATTCCAGTGAAATGTTATATAGACATACCTGTGATAGGTTAAGTGTTTTAATATTAGAATTTGAGACATGATGATTTACGCTCTTGTATTTAAGCCATTGTCTTTCTTGATAACCTAGATCTAAAAATGTAATACAGTAATTCTTTTACACATGCAGCTGGGGAAGGAGGAAAAGTTGTTGTGATGGCTTAATTGATTGTGTTTTCTTTCTTACAGAAAATGCCAGAAGCCTCAGAAGACCATAATCATTGGAAGGCCTGTTGACTTCCATTTTTTGGTTATCTGGAACATCATCAATCTGGCATGGCGCAGGGCAGTCAACAACTCGATGTGCAGGTACTCCATGATCTCCGACAACGTTTCCCTGAGATACCTGAGGGGGTGGTATCTCAGTGCATGCTTCAGGTATGGTAAAGGATTTTTAAGAGTCTTTGTATTTTATTTTTCTAGTATGAAAATTCTTTTTAGTAGTATACCCGGAGCATAGATTTTCATTCTTTTGGTTTTATTTTGAAAGGGTGGAAGACTCCGCTACTTGCATTTTTGTCCTGTCTTTTATGTACAAAGATTTTATCATTCTTCACTTATGTCTGTATGGGGTTTTCCACTGATTATTCTTCCTTGTCTATGCAACCTGTGACTGTGTGCATACAGGGAACAAGGAAAATGGCTAATGGGATGATTATTGATGATGGCTACATAAATAACATACATATACTGAAAGAGATTTTAGCAAACACTGACTCATTCTTCCAAGATAAGGAACTGGCTTTAACTAGGAATCTAAAGGTTTTCTGTCTTCATGGCATCCTTTTGCCACAGCTGTCTAAAGGTTTATTTTTACTTCTCTGTTTCCAAGTCAGGTGGCAGTTCGGGGTTGTTCCCCCCCCGCCCCCCTCCCCTATTTCTTCCTTACATATTCATCTAAAATCACAAATTGGAAGTGGTAATAAGTGAGCACACGTAAAAGTCTTGGTCATCTGGGAATGCCTTCCGTTAATGGGAAAGTTCAGGAGTGTAATAGAAACATGTGAGATCTGGTTTGGCCTTGTGTGGCCATGGCTAAGGTAGAACCTAATGTGGTAAACTGCTGCATATGAAAGTAGCAAAGCTGTATTTGCATCCTACCTGTCCTTGGCAGAAGAGTAGGTTTACTTTTAACTGTGGCTGTAATTTTTGCATTTTGTGTCTTCTAAGCCATGGAAATACAAATTGCTTTCAGACAAATGTAAAGCGGGGGAAGCCCTGCAATATAAAGCTTCACTTATCCTGACAGTCATTTCTTCTGTACTGTTAAGTACATCATCTTTTTGATTAATTATGTTTAAGTCATAGACATCTTTGAACTGATAAAATCAAAGATCCCCAATGCTGCAGAAGCATACGTTGTTCCACATCTATAACGTGGTGTTCTAGATAGCTAGTTAACATTATATTGCAAATATCTGTCATTTTTTTAATGTGTAGAATTTGTTTCCAAACCCACTTTATATTTGTTTTAAGATACATGATCTGGTTTCCACTAACATGTTACAGTACATGCTTCAGATTTAAAGTAGTGTGAGTTTTGGACCTATTAAAAATTGAGGGTCCTTTGAAATTACAAATATATTCCATACCCTGAGAAAATCAGATTAGGGCTTGTCCTATCTACGTTCTCTCTACCTCCACCCTGATGGAGTGACCGAAGGAAGCTGAGGACTCTCTTTATGAAGGCCTGTTTAGATGGCAAATGGCTGTTGGTAGCGGTTAACTTTTTCAAGACTGCTGTCTTGGCACTGTGGTGCTGGTTATTATTACAAGGTCTGTTTTCCACATGTTCTGGTTTTAAATTTTTCTGTGATATGTCTGGATATTCCTATTGACCAGTGAGGGCTAGAATAGTAGTAATAACAGTATACAACGCAAGCAATGCAGTGTGCAATTGCTCACTGCCTGCTGCCCAGTGCCCAGCCAGTCCCCAAGCAGCGGTCACTGCCCCATAGACAACACCCCCCAGTGTATATACTGAGCATGACATCATATGGTATGGAATATCACTTTGGTCAGTTTGGGTCAGCTCTCCTGGCTGTGCCCCCTCCCAGCTCCTTGTGCACCTGGCAGAGCAGGGGAAGCTGAAAGTCCTTGACTGGTGTAAGCACTGCTCAGCAACAACTAAACCATCAGTGAGTTATCAACATTCTTCTCATACTAAATACAAAACACAGAACTACGCCAGCTACTAGGAAGAAAATTAACCCTGTCCCAGACAAAACTAGGACAAATATATATACAAACTTTATATAGTGGTAGTGTTTAAAATAGAAGTGAAACCATTATTAATGTATATTCCTTAGAATGTTAATCTTATACTAAGGAAGGTGGGGTTATATGTGTTTATATATAAATATGTACATGCTTGTTCTGGTAGGAGGTGCTGTACGTCACAGAAGGGTAGCAGTCTTGGATCACATGTAACAAATTTAGGTGCTGAGGGCCAGATGTAGTTGAACTTAATTTAAAGTGAATTTTTTTTTTCTTTTAACTGCTGTTTAAATTAAAAACTGAACCACAGCTGATACAGGCTGTTGTATGAGAAACTGGGGAGAAAAAAATAAATTCAGTCTGGAATGCTTTCTAGGAAAAGCTATCATTTGTGGTGTTCCTTTAACAAGGCTAGATTAAGCTAAAATGAGTGGAGAGGGGAAGAAGGGAAAGAAAGGGAATTCCCCATTACACTTTTGATTTGATTTGTAATTCATTGTCTGTATAGTTTCAGCTGCTGGCACCACAGAACAGATCAAACATTTACAGGGGTTATTTGGTTTCCTCACTGATGTATGAATAAACCTTTTTTTAGCCTTGAGCCTGAAATTATTAAAGGCAGTTGAAATTATATCAGAATTGTAAGGTGCTTTATGGAATTGCCAGTACTTTTTCAAGCAGTACTTATTCTGACTTCATTTTTAAGGCACTAAACTCTATTCTACCAAGAGAAGGTGCTCTCAAAAGTTGGGCTTTTAAACTTTCAGGTGAAATACTCAGGTAAACACTAAAATAAAGATGAAAACAGTAAGCAGTCAGATAATCATTAAAATGTCATCTGCATTTTTGTTTTGACTTTCCAGAGTTCGCCATTTTGATCTAGTTTAATTTTATTTGTGTTCTTAGAAGTAGTTAATTGTACATAACTGTTTCTTGCAGAAGATACCAAGAGTTCTAACCATTGCTTTCACCAAAACTGGACTTGATTTTTTTAATACATCATACTGTAGTTAGTGTTACCATAGAATTTTGATAGATGCAATTTGATCTATGTACTACTTGCATACTATGACCTAGTAAGTATACCTTTATTTCAAAATTTGTTTCTGTGAGATGTTATCCCCAGTTATGCTCAAGGTAGGCTTGACTGCAGTTTCAGTTGAATGCTTGTTGAATGTTGAGCAGTGGCTTTTTCTTTTGCTATTTGACAATAATAGGTGTCCATTCTTACTCCTAGAACAACAACAACCTAGATGCCTGTTGTCGAGCCCTTGCACAGGAGAGCAACAAATACTTATATATGGAGTACCATAGCCCTGATGACACCAGAATGAATAGAAATAGCCTTTTGCACATTAATCTGGGTATTCATCCTCATACCAGCTATCATGCAGGGGATGGAGCTCAACTTAATGGTGGTCGTACACTGGTACACAGTTCAAGCGATGGACATATTGATCCACAACGCACGGCAGGTAAACAGCTGATATGCTTAGTTCAAGAACCACATTCTGCTCCCGCTGTTGTGGCAGCTTCTCCTAGTTACAATCCATTTTTCATGAATGACCAGAATAGAAATGCAGCTACTCCTCCTCCACAGCCACCTCCACAGCCATCTTCCATACAACCAGGAATGAACACGTCTGCTATGCAAGGCCCTCCTCCCACGTATATGCACATACCTCGGTACAGTACAAATCCCATTACTGTTACAGTATCACAAAACCTCCCCTCTGGACAGAGTGTACCCAGAGCTCTACAAATTCTTCCACAGATTCCAAGCAATCTTTATGGGACTCCTGGCTCTATTTATATAAGACAAACATCTCAAAGTTCTTCAGGACGACAGACTCCTCAGAATACACAGTGGCATTCATCGCCACAGGGCCCAGTTCCACATTATACTCCCCGTCCTCTACCTGTGTATCCACATCAACAGAACTACCAACCTTCTCAGTATTCTCCTAAACAACCCCAGATCCCTCAGTCAGCTTTTCGATCACCACCGGCATCCCAGTGTCCCTCTCCCTTTGGCTCTCCTCAACACCAAGTTCAACCTCCTCAGTTGGGTCATCAGAGTTCACATGTTTTCATGCCTCCTAGTCCTTCAACTGTCCCACCCCACCCATATCAGCAAGCGTCCCAGACTTTTCAAAAACAAGGAGGTCACTCTGTATCTTATCTTCCTCCTTTTGCTGGACCTAGTTTATCCAAAGGTTCCATGAATAAAATAGAAATTACAGTTGAGCCACCGCAAAGACCTGGGACTGCAATGAACAGAAGTCCTTCACCAATAAGTAATCAACCATCTCAACGAAACCAGCACCCGCTGTATGCAGCAACTACTCCTCCTTCAAGCTCTCCATCAAGAGGTATGTCGGGTCAACCCAAACCTCCATTTAGTGTTAATCCAGTATATATTACCTACACTCAACCAACTGGACCTACAGGTGCACCAACACAGTCTCCTCGGGTAATGGTATCTCAGCCAAACCCAACCATTTTTAAAATCACAGTAGGTCGAGCACCGACTGAGAATCTTTTAAATTTAGTGGACCAAGAAGAGCGTTCTGCAGCACCAGAACCTATTCAGCCTATTTCTGTAATCCCAGGATCTGGAGGAGAAAAAGGAAGCCATAAGTATCAGAGAAGTTCTAGTTCTGGATCAGACGACTATGCTTACACTCAAGGTAAATGTTTCACCCTGCAAATTGTATTATTATAAGATGCATTTTCATATTGATTTTGCTATTTACCAAGTAAGAATTTTTGAACCTGTATAGAGAAGAATAGAACTTGCACCAAAAATCACCTAATGAGAGACTTTGTTCTGATTTTTTAAAAAATTTGCCAAATTTCAGTCTACTACATAAAGAATTTCTGAGGTTCTTAATGTTGCTATGCTTTTGATGTTAGGTGAATTTCTTAAAAGAAAACACTGCAGCTAACAAAAGTAAGTGGTTCGTTCATATACTGTGTGTCCAGTTTGTAAATTCTGCGTTGAAGAACTGTGTCATAAATTTACATGTGGATTTTATTATTTTTTTGTATTTGTTCTGTACTCTGCTGCTTTATAAAACCTGAAGCACTAGCTTCTGCAGGGAATTTGAATCCAATTTATTTGGTTTAGATTGAAGAGTATTAAGGGGAAGAGGAGAGACAAGTAGGATTGCAGCTAAAATTACTTAGGGTGTCAATACAAGTCATATTTTTCTTTTGAAACTTATTAAAATAATTATTTTTGAAGAACTTAATCAGAAGTTCACTTCTTCCACTTAGTTTTCAAAGATGAGATTGGCAGACAAATTTTAGGATGTGTGTTCTGCTGCATAGGGATAGAACACAGTTAGTCTTAATGCCAAATCTAAATGAAGAACTAAGTAATTTAGTAAAAAGAAAAAAATGGTGAAATGCTTTTCTCAGAGTAATCTGCTTTATACATTTGAAACATTTAAGCAAATGAATCAGTCTGCAAGCATTCAAACCAATCATTTGGGGCAATGACAGAAGATAGTCAGCAGCAATTATTTAAAGAATGTGCTTTGTTTCTGGATTTGTGTTTGGAAAAGAGTCTATTCCACCATTGCTCCTTCTAGCCTTCCTTTCACTTCAGAGAGCTGAAATAATGGTTATGATGCTGCCCTGTAGTTCTTGGTTTCTTAATTCACTTTGTGTCTTTTGAGCTATTCTAACTCATCAACAAAGACCTGTTCTGTACCTGGTAGACCCAATTAGAAATGTTATTCATAGACAATGAATGCTAGTAGGTCTGCAACTCCTAGACCATACACTTTGTTTGGTAGTGTTCCTATTACAGCTTCATTGAAAATTGCCAGTTATGTGAGAAAACTATAAGTAGCTTCACATACCTGAGAACAAGTATTCTGAAATGTAGAAATCCGGTTTTGCCTTTGTATCTTTGACTAGATCTATGTATTTGGGAAACAAACCCAATAAAACTAGTTAGTATTATGCTTTTGGGGGCATCTGCTGTTGTGGCAATACCTACCACAACTGGGACTTGATTATAGCCTTCGGTATTGCTGCACTCTGAACTCTTGATAGAAATAAATTGTGGAAGAATAAACGTTATATTCTTTACTACCACAAAGGAATCCTAAAGAAGAGTGTATTTAACAGCTTAATATAGGGAACAAGTTTATTTAATTTTCTTTTGAATATGAACCATTGTGTAAAGTGTTACCAAAATCCATTCTGGTGTCTGTACTTCCACCGTTTCTTTGTAGCGTGAGTCATGTTTGATGAGTTGTACTAGAGTATAATATGAAGCTATGTAATGTAGTCATACCAGATGTTAAATTGGAGGAGTCACATAAAGACAAGGTTTGATAGCAATAGTGGAAAATCATATAGCCTGGTATCTGTACTTTTTTTTTTTTTTTTGTGATTTTGTGGTCCCTTAAACTCTACTTGGATAACTTATGCTACTTCAAAAAGTAGAGAACAAATTTGTTCAGTAATCTAGTGCCTGTATCATAAAAACATCTGATGTTATTCTTGGCTAATAGGATTTTCAGTGTTTATTCTTTGGCTGTGAATTGTTGGATCCATACAGAATCCAAAGTACAGTGCTACTTTTTAACACAGAATACTGACATCTGATAAAAAAGTGTCATTTTTATGCTCATGATTATTTTTCTTTTATCCTCTGCCAGTAAGTTGTGTCATAATATTGCTTATTTTTCTAACTTTTAGCTAGTATGTAAATATTCTTGAGATATGTTTTTTCTTTGCCTGTGTTGGACAGGGGTGAAGAAAAGGGCAGGTGCTGGCTGATGCTTTGTATGAAATAGCATTTTGCAGATTCTACATCTCCGTACATTTGAACAGTTTGCTGGAATATTCTAATATGAGCAGTGCGCTTGTCTCAATAATTTCTCTTATTTTTCTCTGTCCTAGTAGACTTTGATTAGGTAAAAACAGCCAGATCAGAAAGTGCTAAGCATGATACTAATTAACTTGGCCAGTTTTGCATCATGATAAAATACTGAGAAATGCTCTTCCTGCAGAAACTGAGTATTATTTTCTAGCTAGTCAAAATTCTTTCTTTGGCTGCTCTGGGAGCCCAATGTCGATTTGTGACTGAGAGTCATGAATTTCACTACCGTGACAAAAATATGAGAGAATAATTAACAGCAGAGAGAGGTTAGAGGATGGGGAATCAGCTCTGTTGTAGACTCTGAAGCACCTGAGCTGCCTTCACTTTTTATTTTCTGGATTCTCTAGTCTGTTTTATTGAAGTTCTATAGTTTTGCCTTTGAGCACCAGGGAACTTACAGTATTGAGAATTGCAGTACTCTGGAAAGCTAAGACTACTTAAAGTTATTATAGCATAAGCTGTAATAGCAGTGAAAAAAAACCAATTCAGGACTGACATGTGGCTAATGTCTCAAGGCTAGTGTGTCAGCTGCTATTGAGTGGCAGATATGAAGTGTGTGCTACCTTCTGATCTTACCTCTGGTATTTATTTTTTTTTGTCAGTACAGTATTAATATAACTAGGTTGCTGTTTCATCCTGAGAAGCTGTCTCCTTGTACAGGTGCCTTTGTATTTTTGAGACGAGAAAGACCAAATGCAAAAAAAGAAGCTTTGACCAAAATGGTAATATCAACTTCAAGTTACTGTCTAAAATGTGTTTTTATTCTGGGAGAACTTTGTTCTAAATTGTAGTTCATTTGGCATGAAAGCATCTTCACACTGATATTTGGCTGCATGTTTATGATCACTTTTTTTTTTCCAGAAAGGTCACTCATGAATCTTACACATAAGTTAAAAATTCAGTTTTCCAGGTTTTTGTGTGTTAGTAACTATTTCTTCCATGTAAAACATTAGCCTTGCTGTTACATCAACGAGCAAGGATGGAGAGATTAGCAAAGGAACTGAAGCTTGAGAAAGAAGAACTCGAACGCCTGAAAGCTGAAGTCAATGGTATGGAGCATGACCTAATGCAGAGGCGGCTTCGAAGAGTCAGCTGTACAACTGCAATTCCAACAGTAAGCAATTTGTTAGTATTTTAATTCAGGATACAAATTTCATGAACTAAAGTATTATGCAAAAAATATTTTGGGTTATAAAATCTTCAGTCTTTGAAGATTACTTTTTGTAAATTCTTGGCTTGTCGTAAGCCAGTTCTTATAATTTAAGGAACAGATATGTATCCAACTTTCTTCTTATTCACAACAGAATTTCTGAAATTTGTATACACGTGCTTTTGTGGATCACAGAACTGAATAGATAGTTACTTTCCTAACAACCTATAAAAGTGTATGTCCAAGTCTATTTAAAGAGCCCAAGCCATGCACAGCTTGGTGTTTGTGCAGCAAGGCTTCACAGGTTTTTTTTAAAGGTATTTTGTTATATTGAGGTACTTTGTTGTTTGGGTAGTTACATCTCTTGGACAATGTTTCCCTATTTGGTACGTGCAGGATGTGCCAAGTAACTTTTCAGTGGTGGTGTTGGCACCTCTCTATCCTCTTTTCCTTGTTGATTCTTCCTATCTGTGTGATTTCTGCCTGCAAGGGACTAGCTGAAACATCTGTGTGGCTCTGAGAATTCATCTGATTGAAAAATAACATCCACTTTGTGTAGTTGTTAGCCAAATCAGTTCAGACTTCACTGTGTTAACATGAACAATGCACACAGATGTAGGCTGGAAGGCATAGTAGGGTCTGTTGGCTGCTTAACTGCTGTATGTCTCGCCTGTCTTGGGGCAGCATTTGGCAGGTATGTTCCTGGGAGGAATACAGAGGCACTGTTCGAGTGTGCAAGGATGAGGTTAGGAAAGCAAAAACCCAGCTGGAGTTAAATCTGGCATGGGATGTCAAAGACAAAAAGAAGGGTTTCTATTAGTCCATAGGTGACAAAAGGAAGGCTAGTAAAAATGTAGACCCACTGCTCAACAAGAGCTGGTTACATAGGACACGGAAAAGGCGGAGATACTGAATGCCTTCTCTGCCTCAGTCTTTACAGGCCTTCAGGAATCCCGAGTCCCAGAGACCCCAGGAAAAGTCTGGAGCAACGAGGGTATGCCCTTGGTGGAAGAGGATCAGGTCAGGGAATACTTAAGCAAAGAGAACTTACATGAGTTCATGGTCCTGGATGGGATGCACCCATGAGTGCTGACGGAGCTGGCAGGTGTCATTGCGAGGCCACTCTAGATAACCTTTGATTGATAATGGTGTTTGGGAGAAGTGCCCAAAGACTGGAGGAGTGCAAATGTCACTCCTGTCTTCAAGAAGGAGGACCCAGGGAACTACAGGCAGGTCAGCCTCACCTTGGTGCCTGGGAGAGCAATGGAACAGCTAATCCTGGAGACCATTTCCAGGCACATGATGGACAAGAAAGTGATCAGCAGTAGTCAGCATGGATTCACCAAGGGGAAGTCAAGCTTGACGAATTTGATAAACTTTTAGGATGAAAAGACTGGCCTGGTAGGTGAGGGGAGAGCAGTGGTTATTGTCTAAGTGGACTTCAGTAAGGCTTTCAACACTGTCTGCTGTAAGATCTTCTTAGAGAAGTTGAAGAAGTATGGTCTGGATGAGCAGACAGTGAGGCAGATTGAAAACTGGCTCCACAGACAGGCCAAGAGTGTGGTAATCAGTGACACAAAGTCTGGTTGGAGGCCAGCAACTAGCGGTGTACCACAGGGGTCAATAGTGGCCCCTGTCTTCCTTAATGATCTGGATGACAGGGCAGAGTGTACCTTCAGCAAGTTTTCTGATGACACAAAACTGGGAGAGTCGTGCTGCCATTCAGAGGGACCTCAAAAAGCTGGAGAAATGGGCTAGCAGGAACCTCATGCCATTCAGCAAGGGGAATTACTAAGTCCTGCACCTGGGGAGGAACAACCCCATGCACCAGTATAAGCTGGGGGCTGGCCAGCTGGAAAACCATTTTACAGAAAAGGCTCTGGTGGTCCAGGTGGTGACCAAGCTGAATATGAGCCAGCAATGTGGCAAAGGCGGCTAGTGATATCCTGGGCTGTGAAGAGAAGAGAAGGCTCAGGGGGGAATCTTATCAATGTATATAAATACCTGAAGGAAGGGTGCAAAGAGGACAGAGCCAGGCTAATTCCACAGGTGCCCAGTGACAGGACCAGAGGCAGTGGGCACAAACTGAAATGCAGGAGGGTCTCTCTGAACATCAGGAACCACTTTTTTACTGTGTGGTTGACTGAGCACTGGCATTGGTTGCCTGAAGTGGTTCTGGAGTTCTCATCCTTGGAGATATGCAAAAGCCGTCTGGGCAGAGGGGTTGGACTAGATCACCTCGAGAGGTCCCTTCGAACCTCAAACATTCTGTGATTTTGTGACTCTGTGGTGCTGGAATGTATCCTAGGGATAGGATAGTTATTCCTACATACATGTTAATAATCAGTGCTGCTAGCATTAAAAACACTTCGTATTCCAGTAACTTGGAGTTTCTTAATGATATGCAAATCTGTGGACTTAAATAACTGATTATTCTGTTAAGAATTTTACTGTCTTGCAGCATTGAACAATTTATATATACTGGGCTAGAAGGTTTGGCATGTTAGAGCTCCTTGGGGTGATGCAAATAAATAAACTTCTGACCTTATTCAGTTATAATCAAGTGATGTGAACTGCAGCTTGTATTCTGTTCGCTGATCATCTTGGTGTAAGCTCATGTAGCAAGTTATCAATTTATACAGAATTTTATAAGGTATATGGTTTTATAAACTTGAGCTCAGCTATGTTTTCTTACTAATGAATTTTAATATTAAGTAACTTGTTAATTTTTGTTGGTTTGGTTTGTTTTCCTCCTCAAACACCAATTGAAAAATGGGGTTTGAGGAAATAAATTGGCTAGGGGGGATGGGACAGACAATGGAATCTTGGCTGTTCTTTTCAGTGTTTATCTATACTCTGTTTCTAATAAAGCTGTTAACAAAGATACAGCAATGTTATTTTATGTCAGATAAGGTACTGACTTTCTCACAATTACTGTTTTGGGTTGTTTGTTTCTAGCCTGAGGAAATGACCAGATTGAGAAGCCTCAACAGACAGCTCCAGATAAATGTTGACTGTACACTGAAAGAAGTTGATCTCCTTCAATCTAGAGGTACAGAACTGATAGTTTTTTAAAGACATAATTTATATATGAGTGGGAACATTGCAGACAGCAGAGTCATCTGCTGGAGGGTAGAAAGGCTCTACAGAGGGGTCTGGACAATTGTATGAGGTTTAACAAGGCCAAGTGCTGGGTCTTGCACTTGGGTCACAACAACCCCATGCAACGCTACAGGCTTGGGGAGGAACAGCTGGAAAGCTGCCCAGCAGAAAAGGACCTGGGGGTGTTGGTCAACGGCCAGCTGAATATGAGCCAGCAGTGTGCCCAGGTAGCCAAGGCGGCCAACAGCATCCTGGCGTGTATCAGGAATAGTGTGGCCAAGAGGAGTAGGGAAGTGATCGTGCCCCTGTACTCGGCACTGGTGAGGCCGCACCTCAAATACTGTGTTCAGTTTTGGGCCTCTCATTACAAGAAGAACATTGAGGTGCTGGAGTGTGTCCAGAGAAGGGCAACGAAGCTGGTGAGGGTCTGGAGCACAAGTCTGATGAGGAGTGGCTGAGGGAACTGGGGCTGTTCAGCCTGGAGAAGAGGAGGCTGAGGGGAGACCTTATCGCCCTCTACAACTGCCTGAAAGGAGGCTGGAGCCAGGGGGGGGTTGGTTCCTTCTCCCAAGTAACATGCAATAGGACGAGAGGAAACAGCAGCCTCAACTTGCACCAAGGGAGGTTTAGGTTGGACATTAGGAAAAATTTCTTCAGTGAAAGGGTTGTCAAGCACTGGAATGGGCTGCCCAGGGAAATGGTTGAGTCCCCATCCCCGGAGGTACTTAAGACTTGTAGACGTGGTGCCTGGGGACATGGTTTAGCAGTGGACTTGGCAGTGTTAGCTTTCTGGTTGGACTTGATCTTACGAATCTTTTCCAACCTAAATGATTCTGTGATTCTAATATAGTACATGCTTAAATGTGGATACTTGGACTCTTTAAAGTTCAATTTGATGATCAGTATCAACTTATCTCTAAAAGGTGTCTCTTTTAGTTACAACCTGATAAAACTTGGCTTGCTAATATTTCTGTTGGCCAAGTTATATTACAAAGAAAGTGGTGACTTAAAAGTGACTTTGTCAAGAGAAAATTTTTAAAAAAATACTCCTTAGTGAAGGTTCTTTATTTAAATTTTTAACTTTTTGCTGACAGAGGCTCTGACCAAGTAACACAAAACAGAACTACAGGTTGCAACCAAGAAGTTGGCAAACAGAAGTCTACTTAAGTCTTTAAAAAACCTTTTTCTGCAACAGAAAGTTGTCATAAATACAATCAAGTAGATTAGAATATGCATGGTCCTTTTTTACCAAGAATGTGTCCTACAGAAAGCTTTATGATTGCACATATTTTTAAAGCAATACAGATTGAGCTGAAGTTGGTTCTTCAGTGTGGGATTAGCCTGCTGAAAGTTACTAGAATGAACACAAAACTGAAAATATGTGACAAAAGACCACTTGGGGAAAATGTAATATATAATGTCATAATAGATGTATGAAATCTGAAGCCTCTTGGTGTTCATATCACTGGCATAGACATGTAAATAGCCCTGGAGTTAGGCTTTCTTACTTTTCTTTTCTGACAGGGAACTTCGATCCGAAAGCCACGTGTAACTTCTATGATAACATAGAGCCTGGTCCTGTTGTGCCACCAAAGCCATATAAAAAGGGTAGGTCAACAAACAAGCATCAAGTTACCTAATCTGCATTGAGAAAGCTTTTTTTAAAAAAACCCTGTGACAACAGGAATCAGTTCTAGTTATTGTGACTTTTCTACATTTATATAAACCAAACCAGAACATTTTTATATAAGTGCGGTAATCCTGGCTACAACTTGTTTTCCTCGGGCAGGTTGTTGCAAATGAATGTTCTGTTAATATGTTGTTTGTAAATACTGTTATATTCACTATTAGAAACAGAGTTGAAAGTATACAAACTTTTACACGTTAACCTGAGCTTCCTAATAATGTGTTTTTAAAATAATTCTAGGTTAAAAGCTCTATGTCAGGTTTGTTTAGCTGGTCTTCTAATACGTGTTGTTAGGATTTTATAGTTTAGTAGGGATCTTTTATGCAAGTTTAATTGTTCACAGCAGCTTTGTTAAAATTTGAAGTTACATTTTTAATTATATTTTAACTTGACTGGGTCACACTTTACCTATTTTTTTTTGTGTAGCATATGAACTTCACAGTAGCCCTGAAGTTTTAGCACAGCAAGAGCTTCAGACATTTTAAGGACCAAGACAGAACAGGTTTCCTCACATCAGTCTGAAGAGATAAAATTGTCCCACTTGCACAAGTTCATTACTAGTTTCTAAAATTTTCCGTGCTAATTGTGTAGTCTTTAGGACTTATATCCAGCTGAGGACACTTAAGTTTTATGTAAGCACAGGAGCTATATACACTTCGTCTGACTTTTTGCCCAGTGGAGATTCAGTCAGGACATCCCAGAGTGACTCAACTCACCGTTAGTAGACACCTAGTGGCCGTGTAGCTCAGTAGCTGTCTGTATTCCACTACATTCAGTGGTGATTTTGGAGCAGAATCCTACCTTTTGCCTCAGGTATTTTTGAACCTTTTTTTTTTCTTTCTGAAATCTGTTAAAAGAATGTTTTCAGATGATAGTGAAAGTCTTTAAACACTTTGTATATTTCAGCTGAAATAGCCAGTCTTGGATCCTGTGCTGTGATATTGAGAAAACACTAGTCTTCTCTGAAAATGTTATGTGTGATAAGATTATAGTGTTGTGTCTCCTCTTACTGTAACTAGTATATACTGAAAATGCTAGTGGAAAAAAGTCACTCTCCTGAATCAGTAATCATACAGTCTGCTTGAAAATCCAAACTCTGTAAATAAGTTCTAGCTGCCGATAAGCACTTCACAGAGGTTTTTGCAGTTGAATTTTGAATATGTATAAGGAAACTTTTCCCCCTCCTTTGAAGCAAGTATTTTACCCTTCAATATAATAAAATGCTTAGTATGTGGGAATCTAAAAGAAAGAGAAGGCCCAGAACTACTGCTTGTGGTACAAAAAAAAATCAGTACTGGGATGTGTTCCCTGCATAGCTGGTAGTGCCCAAGAAAGACAGTAGCAGCAGCTGAGCAGCGGCATGAAGGCAGCTGCCTGGATTCATGTTAAATTGTGGTGATCAGTGTGGTTGATTTAAGACAATTGTACTTCCTGTTGCTCGAAGAGATTTTCTTAATTACACTAGCTTGTTTGATTTATTATTTCAAAGCACAATAACGTGCAAACTTGCATGAAATAGATGATTTTATTTGGCAGTTGGAAAGATAGTGTCTTGCAAGGATTTGTATGACTTTTATGGCTAGATTCCCAGTTTTGCCTGTCAACTTATCAGAGATCAGTTTTAGGGCTGGTATACTATATTCTGAGCTTGGCCTTTAACATGGAGATGTCAAGATATTTTTTTTTTCCTTCAAGTCCATTTCCTTAATATTCAGCTGTTGAAGGTGTGGGCAGACAGACAGGTATGGGCAGACGAGACTCTGCTCTCTGCTGCCGTCTGGCTAGTCAGCATGAATACAGTCTAGTGCCCACACTACTTGCTTGCTTAGGAGGAGTTTGTTGAGGCCAAGTACTATTAATGTGACTACACAACTTCTGGACTGGATAGGGTTTACATCTAAGCAAGGAGGTTACTTATATTCTCTTTAAGTTTGTCCCTGAAGCCAAACCTAAGTACTATTTGCACTAATTTTGTCGTCAGCCATCTGCTAGGTTTCTTAGCAGATGACAGCAATGCATGCACTTTGAATTACAAACTGCAGTCCTTTCTTTCAACCGAAGTTCTCTTTTAATTAAGCTGTTCTACAGATGTTTGTTTAGCAGATGGGTATCTTAACCTTACCTTCTAGGTATGTGTGTTCATGTTGTTTCAGATATTAACATTTTGCAAAATGTGTTTACACGTCCTAGGAGTGTCACATTCAGTAGGTAACCTGAGGTCTTGAAGTGGTGGTAGGAGACATGGGAAAACCAAGTCTTCCCGTGGGTTGATACCTAATGTATGATTTGCACACATACCGTTTTTATGAATGAAAACACACTTAAGTGCTGCTTCATGTACACACGTCCCTGCTGCAAAGCCATGAAGGAGAAAAACAATCATCTTGTTTCGAAACAGGCCTACTATTGTATTTTTATGTTGTATTTTTTTCAGCCTGGATAAATGCTAGAAAGAGATGCAGAAAATACACAGTCTGTCAGACTGTTTGAAGGAACTAAGTTAGAATTAGTCTTTCACTTCAAGTAAATTACGGTTATTGGAATTTAGACTTTGATAATAGGCTGCTGAATGTAAACCTATGAAGTCGTTCCTTAACAGGATGGTTTTGCAGTGCCAGTAACAAATTGTTCAGAACGTTTTAAACTATTAAACCTTTAGCAGTATCAGTGACCTAACAGTAGTGACTGCTTTTTTGTTTTTAATGTAGTATGGTTAAGTGACTCTTTAGAAAAGTGAAATACTTTTGATATTCGGATTTCACAAACTGAATTAGAAATGCTTTAGCAAAAGACCTTTAATGTTACCTAAATGGAAAGGTTTCTATCTTCATTTTAAGGTAGAATGTTTAATGAGGTGACAGTAGTGTGATCTTGCCTATCATTCTTCTCTTCTGAAGTAAGAAAAAAAATCTTTTCCTTTTGGCTTTTTTTAGAGCATCAAAACAGCTCCAAACAGACTCCACGGACTCAGCCAAGAGATGAAGACTTTGAAGGAGCTCCATGGAATTGTGATAGCTGCACCTTTCTAAATCACCCAGCACTAAATCGGTGTGAGCAGTGTGAAATGCCGCGATACACCTGAAAATCAGGAAGGGGCTGCATTGGGTTGAAAACAGGCTCTCAAGCCGACAGCTGTAGGAGAAGGAAATATGGGGAACCTTTCAGTCCATCTGCCCAGCCTTTGCCAGTTAACAATCTTCATATTGCAAGGGGTGGGAGTAACGTGTTAAGATTGTTTCTGCTTGTGCTACACTAAAAATACATAAATTAAGGGTGAAATTCTTTCTTATCCCATTGCAGTGAGCAAAGCAGAAAATGAAACCTGAAAATGTAAAAGGATTAATTTTGGGAAGAATGTATACAGGAAAGCAAATAATCACTGGTGTTTAGTCCTGTGGTTATAGTTACTGCTTAGTGGCTCTAAAAAAACAAAACAAACCCAACCTTTTTTTTAAAAAAAAAGAAATAAAATCATAGGACTCTTAGTAAAGGTGTGAAATGTTACACTTAACCAGAAAAACTGAAGAGTCAGGGCTGACTTAACCTGGCCACAGCTAGCTGGAAAACAAAGGCTCCCTGTGCTTCTAGATTGTAAGCTACTGAAAAAGACAACCGGTAAATGCAATGATAAATTTTGCAATGTATAAAAAACAAGGAGAAGGGTATTTGTAATTGCTGCTTTTTTTCAGGGTAACTTATGTCTACAAAAAATTGCTGTTTGAAATAGTAACCTAAGGTGACTAAATGAGATACTGTATGAGTGTTACAGAGAGTTTAATCAGAGATAATTTTTTACAGTCCCTTTTGCTTGTACAGTGCTCACCTGGCTGTGTCAACACTGGTAATAAACTAAGAATGAATTCTACCATATTACGGATGAAAACTACTGCTGCATGCTTTCATTAGGCTGTCGTGTTTCAAAGCTAAAAGTATGCTTTCATATACAACGATCTTCTACACCTGTGCTCTGTAGCAGCACAGTGACACACGCCAAACACAGACTACTCCAAATTTGGTTTGGAAGACTTGAGCTCAGCCATGGTTGTGCATGAGAAGAGTTTGTACCCAGTTCCTTAGGCCTTTTCAGCTCTGAATTTGCGAAGAATTCATGATGTTTACAGCACAGAAGGTACTTTGTGCCCCAGTTCAAAGTTAGCTGAAAAATAATTATTCAATTAGCTCTTCAGTCAAGGTTTATTTGCACATTGTTAATAAACCAGCCTGTATAAAACAGATGCCAGATCCTGAAAAATTACACACTGCATTCTTTTTATTTTGGTCAGGAAATATTTGCCGTAGGTTGAAGAACACAAGACTTGCAACTGAAAATCATACTGGTACTTTTATGCATATGATATACTGTATTATAAAGGTGATGTTCAATTTGTTTGAATGCTTCAGGTTGCTGTAATAAAGCACTCGAATCTTGTGAAATCGAACCTGGGTTTGGGCAGCTGAATGATTATGTTTCACAACTGTGCGACTGAGTAGGATGTTCTTGTGTACCGGTCAGAAGCTGGTACAGTGCATTTGAGTTTTCATGGTCTAACTTTGTCAAGATTCAGAGACGCGACCGAGCACGTCAGCTGAATTGCGGTAATTGACTTGGCAGCTGCGAGGCAAAACGCGCTAGCTAAACCTTACCAGAAGAGATTTAAACGACTTCATTTGAAATTGTTCTTAGCTCCCGGTAGTCACATCCATATGGTCAATTACCACAATTCACTCGATGTGTGATAACATGTTAAGCTGTGGTAGAACAATCATGTGTCTGAATCCTTATTTAAGATCCGGCAGCGTTTGTAAGGGGTGGGTGGAGGAAAACTCATCTTGACTGCATTGCTCAATCTGGTGTCTTCTCGCCCTGCGGTTTATAAAGATAACAGTAAAAAAACTGTGATCTTAGATGAGGAACCAATATTTTATCTGGCATTTTTCAATATGTTCTTGCACTAATTAAATCTTCAGCATGGTTTGGAATAAGCTAAGAGATCTCCAGCAATCCGTGTGCACCACTGATGAGCAAAACAAAGGCAAAGGCATCAGAGCTAGTTTCCCTCCCTCCCCTCCCTTGTATTGCTATATGGGGAGCTCATCACATGTGGAAAGGGGTAAAAAAATTATTGTCAAATGCAGTTAGAAGGCAAATATTAATTTTGTTCATGTAAGCGGACAGCCTGGCAAAACTGAGATAACTAGAAAACAGATGAGCAGAAGCGTTAGACCTGGGATAAGCAGTACCATTGCTGTTATCAGCTGTATAATGAATTGCTCAAAACAATACCAGTAACTTCATGACTTTTCTATCGTGATGCCCTTGCCTTTGTATTATTTCAATTTTCTGTTCATTTGTACTTCTCTTGAAGTTCTAGAAGCATTGGGTTTTGCTGGAATTACAAAATGATAGCAACCGAAATGGCAGTCAGCAAATGAGAGTGTGTCATGCGTTGATACAGTTGTGCCGTTTTCAGACAGAATAGATGCTACTGGGGGAATGCATGCAGTCCAGTAATTCCCTGAACCGTAATAACCGTAAGTGGAGACTTGCTAATCTTAGTCATAGCTTCTCCAGAGGAGGAGAAGGAAGGCTGCCGTGACAGCAAGATACTTTTTGGAAGACTGAATGAGTGCCGTTAAATTGCAAATGAATTCCTTCGTACCGATAATTTTACTCCAGTTTTTCGATTACTCTCATTTGTTGCTTGTACAAAAAAAAACACCCCAAAACACAAAACCTTTCTGATGTATTCTTTTACTTGTAAATGCCCATACTCAAACGTCAACAGTAAAGACTTTACATGGTGCTTGAATATTTTTAGTTTGTTAGAATGTAAATTGTACTTTGAATATTGGAAGATCCATTTTCCTTCTGAAATCAGGTGACGCCTTTCACACCCCAACTGAATTGTAGATTATGCCAAAAAGATTGGTTTATGTAATATTTATTGAATGCACATAAAACCCTAATGTCAGCTGGCATACAAAATGCACTGTATTGTATAAAGTGTGTGTGTGTGTGTGTGTGTGTGAATGGTGGGATGCTGATGCCATTGTGTTGAGTTAATGCACTACTTGTGTTTCCTTTTTTTCCTCAATGACTGAGCTTTCCCTCAACCATGCTACTAGAGTGGTAGAGTTTGTAACTGACGTGGACATTCAGATACTCAAAATTATTTCACTGTTCACTGAAATTTTATAAAGCTTATTTTATATTCACTGTGCTATTAAGATGAATTCCCTTTAATGATAGAATACTACTGTAGCTCTTTAAAAGTTTATTTAGAGTGGGGCTTGTGGAAGACAATTCAGAACATAGCAAACCAAAAGAACCTGAACTCTGGATCTACTTTTAATTTGATGTAGTTATTAGTCTTGTTCGGGTGAAGAGGAAGGGGGTGGGAAGTCGAGCAAAAGGAAGAACTTTGTAAAATGTAGTCTTAGATCAGATTGAGTCGTGTATCTGTGTGTCTGTGGTATGTGTGTGTTTCCCTTGAAAAATGGGAGGTGTGGTGAAAAGGTGTAATAATTCTTAAAAGAGCTGGTCTCAGTACTTTCTGGTTATGATATGCTACTAAATCACATTTTTTTAAAGAAAGACCTTTTCTTTCAGTTACTTTATCTGTCCCAGTTACACATCTCTCATTTCACTTTCCAGATACTTTTACGCTTAATATTGATTGTAAAACCCCTTGAAACTGAAATAAAAATACTTGAGTTGAAATGGGGACAAAACCGAATAAAACCAATAACGAATGTTTTTAAAAAGAATGTGAGAATATTAAATACATTAAAACCAAGCTTGTCACCAGGATGACCGGTTCTGTTTTAAAACCCAGCGATATACCCTAGAATGTGAAAAGGACTATCCTGGTGAGAAGTGGACAGCTGGACATAAACAATCCATCAGCTTGTTTGGTACCACAGAATGGACGTGCTCCGTGCTACCGCGGCTCTCAGTCCCATAAAGAGAGGAGACACGCATAGGTATCACATCTCATAGTCAGTACCGTCTCTGTGTGCTGCTGCATTTGTTTCGTTTCAAAATGTCAATATTCTATGAAGCTAGCCGTGACTGAATTTTGCCAGATTTCTTCATTTTGGGGCTTTCGTTGCTGTTTATGTCCATAAATATTAATGCGAATATTTTTTCTTGGGTTTGAATAATCAGAAATCAATGGAGTTAATGCAATATTATAATCCTGGATTTTCAGTACCTTTGAAACCGATTTCAAAAAACTGTGTTCTTGAAACTTATTTATTTATGGTGGCACCAGTGTATCTGATTCATATTTCCTGCTGTGTGAAACCCTGTTAAATTTTTTTCATTAAAAAGAAGACGACACGATCTTGTTTAATCCTGTATATATGGTGTCTACATTCTAGATTTGTGTATGCTGTGAATGAACCTATTACTAAGAGATGAAATTGTATAAAAGCATTCAGAGGCTATGCATGCATGGTACCTCCAGAAAGTGCATACTCCGAGTTGCAGATTCCTGCAAAAATAAATTAATAAAACTAAGCAAACATCACATCCTGCATCTGTTCTTGTATGTAGTAGGAAACATCTAAAAAATACAGCCTTTTTGCCTTCTTTCCTAGTCCGATTGTTTCTGGCCTTCCACTTGAACCCATCGCTACAGCAAATGGCTTTCAGGGCCCTGGGGGTTTTCTTTTTGGTGCTCGATAGGATTCTCATTAGGCGGTCACTGGACACTGAGCGACCGGGGTCCAAATCCTGTCCCCCCGTGAGCGTGGGCGGTGTGCGTACGCAGGAGCCCCGGGGTGGGTATTCCCCGCAGCTGCCCGTGTGGCAGCCGGGGCGCGGGGTCCTCAGAGCGCCGAGCTGAGCTCATGGCTTCTCTCCCCTCTCTGAAGGGCAAGCTGTGCCTGGGGGAGCAGCTTCCCCGCTGAGCCGCTCCTCGGCAGGCCTCCCTGCTCCCCCTGGGCAGCACGGGGCGCCCACCCTCTGCCACGGCTCTGGGGGGGGGCGGGGAATTTGGAAGGCATAAATCGCTAGGCCGGCCATTTCTTTTTGTTGGTGTGTCTTCTCAGTCATCTTGGTTGTAGCGGCCCACCCGTAACCTAAAGCTCGACAGCTCTGTAGCTGTGCGACGGCTGCATTTTGTTCACGTATGGTTTCGGTCATCGGACGCGTTTTGGTCTAACAAGCCTGCTGCAAGCAGTTTTGGTTTGGAGCTTTTGTCAGCAAAGAGGTAAGGATTCAGTTTTGCGTTCCTTTTGCTAAAATGAATTTATGAAAATCTGAGGATGGGTTTGTATTTGAATCAAGCATTTGATTCTTTCACTTCAGAAATGATTGCAATTGAAGCCTTTTTTCTGAAAAAAGTTTCAAAGCTTTAAAAAAAAAATAAATGAAAAAAGTGAAAAAGCTACCTGTGAAACCTATTCTGCTGATGGGGAACACACAAAGCCAAAAGCCCGTAGATCCAACAAGTGGCAGCGGCCGCTGTTCTGTTGTTGCTTCCGTGAAGTCCTGAGGAGGAGGATCTGCCGGAAAGAACTGCGTCAGCCCGGTTGACTTCCTCGTAAGAGCTGCTTGGTTTTGACAGCCCCGCACCACGTCTTGAACCTGCGGCGCTTGGGGAGATGGTTGGTCTTGCGACCTGGTGAGCGTGCTGGGAATCCAGTGCTGCTGCTTCTCCTCAGTCGAGGTGCCCACAGCTTTGGGCGAGTGCTGCGCGTTCTGCAGTCGCACCCGCGCTGGCTGCAAATGGACTCGGTGGGAGGAGGGGGCTCCGGTAACTCATTTCACCCGATGGCTGGGCGCGAGTCGTCGTGTGTTAAATGGGTTACCTACCGTTCTCTGGAAACCTTGTAAAGCCGTGAGGGAGAGGGCTACGTTGGTTTTTAGACGGAGGGTCAGCGGTTGTGACGTGTTCTAGTTTGACAGTAAAAACCAGGCCAGACCCGTAAGAGCCTCTTGTGGGCGTGGCACTGCATTTTACAAAATACTCTTGTCTCTGGAGAGCGGTAATGTTTTGATTAAAACAAAATACATTCATAAAAACTCTACTCTGCAGGTAACTTCTTTCCAGTTAGGCAAGACTTAAAACCTCGCACGTGTTTGTTGGTTTTACAAGTTCCGTTTTGAAGAGTTTTGAAAAATTAATTGTCCTTTATTCCCAAACCGTCGTGATCTTGTTGAAGTTAACAAAGGCTCTCCTGCTAGTTTCACTTAAAAAAAATGTGTACATACACTTTGTTTACTGCTTTAGAAACAAAACCCAAAAGCCTTTGAGTGAAAGGCATGCAACACGGGTGACACTTGATTTTTTTTTGACTAAAAGCTTCATTTTTTGGGAGTGTTTTAGGAAAAAAAGTTTAGGCATGTGGGAGTGGTTTTTGTCATGTTTTCCCGGTCGATTGCCTTCCAGTTCCAGTCCAAGATGAAATTTATCCTGCTTTGGCCAAAGAGGTTCCCCAATTATTGGATGGCTCCTTGACGGAGGTTATCCGATGGATAGCAGATATTTTCCAAATGACATAACTCTCAGGTCTGTAACAGGTCTCGATGCAAATGCTCACCTTGTGAGCATCGCCTTCTCACAGCAACACTTCTGTAAGGGAAGCAGACTCTTGAAAGCGAAAAAATCCAAACAGGTTTATGAACTTCTAAAGACAACTCTCTGAGCGTTGAACAGCCGTGTGCATGCAGGGTCTGTCATGAAAAATAATCATTATTGCTGTGTGTTGTTCTGAGATGTTATTCCATCTGACATAGCGGAGATGCAATTTGTATCCCCCCTCCCAATTTAATCTTTTGGAAAAGCAGAGAAGGGGTTTGGTGTATCAATGCGCTTTTTTGACTGGCTTTTTCCTAGGTTGCTAGTTAAATCCCTAAATTTGGATTTCCCCCCCCGCCCCTCCCCCCCCCAGTGGGATTGAGGTGCAAAGCCTTACCATTTGTGATTCTTTACAGTGTCTATTTTTTTTTCTAATAAATCCTTAGTAGGTATTCTTTCTCATGAGAGCTTGGCTATTTCAAATCCCAGCTACGTGTTTTTGATATCTAGACCTGAGAAGCGATAGTGATTTCTTCCTTCTCCTTGTCTTCCTGACCTACGTGGATCAGTGGCAGTGCTGAGGCTCCCTGCAGTCACCCAGGGGGCTAATCGCGGGGCGCTGCCGTTCTCATGAGAGGTTGGCTGTTTCAAATCCCAGCTGCGTGTTTTCGATATCTAGACCTGAGAAGCGATAGTGATTTCTTCCTTCTCCTTGTCTTCCTGACCTACGTGGATCAGTGGCAGTGCTGAGGCTCCCTGCAGTCACCCAGGGGGCTAATCGCGGGGCGCTGCCCCGTTCTGCTGCCCTCTTCAAATGCACTCTTCCTCACTGGGCGTCGGATGGAATTGGCTTTGCGTATCGGCAGGGTGCCCAGCATTACATAGGATACGATCCAGCTGAGAAAGGGGGTAGAGAAAATAGGGCCTTCCAGAATACAGGGCTTTCGGGGAGGCGGGTGTCTTGCGCTTTCTTGTTTTTCTGCTGCAGCTTCACAGCAGCCCGATCACCCCCATCGCACGCTGACGTTGTCTTATCTGTTGGTAGTGGATCTTGAAAGACCCTCTATGCCAGCGGGGCAGAGGCAAGCGCATCTTGGTGGACAGTCAGATCTGGGATGCCTACACAGGGAAATTTTGTGTCTTTTAAATTCAAGCCCAGTGCATCGGCTCTCTCCCCTCAGGAACCTGCT